CTAAAGAAATAATACAGCATGACTCAAATTTTTACCCCTCTGTTAGCATCTTATTACTAAATATCCAGTGCTGCTCATTTTAAGATAAGATAAGATAACCTTTATTAGTCCCACACGTGGGAAATTTGTTTTGTCACAGCAGGAAGTGGACAGTGCAAAAGTTATGAAGCAAAAATTAGAATACAATGAGAATAAATACAGTACACAACTGTACAGAATAGAATACAATAAAATACTATATACAGTAGAATAAAATAGAATAAAATATAATATTTACTATATAATATATAATATAATAATTTACTACACATCTTTAACTGTAACATAAACAATAAGCACATGAAAATGGCACATTTCTAATATCGTGACCTAAACCACAACACTAAGCACTTTGTAAAGACAGATGTTTGGGCCGACAGCTGTGCTTAGTTCAGTTAAACTTCAACTAAAAGCTACCTGATGTAACTGAAAGTAAGTATATGTAGACATATAGGTGACACTCACTTCATCTCCAGAATCTCCTCCAGCTGCTTTCGTCTCTCCTGGCGCAGACTGTTCAGATGTCCGTCTCGTTCGTGCAGCGACTGCTGAGTGGAGGACAGACGCAGTTTCGTGGCGTCCAGCTCCTGGCGCGTCTTCTCCAAAGCTCCCATCAGCTCCTCCAGCTGTTCAGTGGAAGACAAAGAAGGAAGGTGGTGTAAACACATTGATCCGTTCTTAATTCTAAGATAAGTTTATAATAATACAACGACACATATCTATTCTGCACTTATGCACACTCACACACAGACGTGAGCATGCTAAAGTAATTTGATATATGGCAGCTATCTGCTGTCTGTGCGTATGTGAAGAACGTGTGCTGGAGTGCTAAAAGATGACATAAAATGACAGCCTAACATTGAAAATCAACGACCAGCTGACATTTAGGAGCAGGAGAAATTACTTCACGGGTTAGTTGAGTGATTGTTCTGACCTTCTCCTCTCAACCCTTCACTTATCATATTCTCAAGTGCAGTTGTGCTTTAGAGCCGAGGATAATGATCAACCTCTTGACTGCATCCTCTGTATCTGCACACACATGTGTGTCTGACAGGATATGACCTCAGGGCGTCATTAGACAGGAAGCGTCTAATTGTCCAACAGCTAGCACTTCACAATAGGATGCAGTCTTACTCAAGCATGTACAGATATACATGTAAAACATTTATTTATCTTTGTTTAGTTTTGATGAGCTGCTAATTTGTGATACGAGGTAAAAAAATCTGAAATTTGCAAGAAAAAAAGGAGAAAGAAAAAAGCAGAGAAAAGGATTATTAGGGGAACCCTGCATGCGGTAAGGACGTGAAGAAAAGGAATGGGCCTCTTTTATGAAGGAGCCAAATGGTTCACACATTTTCAGGACAGTTTCCATCTCCTCCAGTTTTCTAGGTGTGTTTCACAGATGTCAGCTCACTCTTCATGAACATCACACGCTGAACACGAGCAGAAAAGAGCAAAGGGAGTGCGCTGAAATGTAACCAGTACGGTTGGAAAACGACGACTTTCAGTCAAAACTTCTTCAAAATGTAACAAAATATTCAATAAATTCAATAAAATACACCCCACAGCTCTGCCAAGAACAATTGACCTCGGTGGTTTCTAGCTGTTAATAGACCGAGTAACGTCAAAATATGCACGTCTCCAAACTTACACCATTTTAATATTCACTGTTTGACTCCAGGATCGAATACAAAGCCAATCTTTTCTTCTTGAAAGGGTCACAGCTCCATTTACACCCACCACATGCCCATCAACCCTCATGCACCAACCTTTCCCTTCCCAGTCCCTTATTAGTCCACCACCCAGGCTAGCCCTCGCTTCACAATCACATCATTAATAAGGAATACAATGCATTTTAGTGAAATTAGGGACCTAATCAGCTTAGCAGTGAGCCTGTGCGTGCTAATTTAGCTCAACTTCAAGGCAAAGCCCCCCAGCCAGGCTAAGGCCTTCTAAGGCTGGCCCAAAGCCCCTTTAGTTGATAAGCTGATTGAGGGCTCAGAGGTAAGGGCCAAATCCCTCTTGTCCGTTTGCGTTGTGTTGCTGGTTCAAAGGCCCAGTTCAAACGCCACAGAGGGGCGAGCGAAACAGCAGAAATCAAGAACGAGAGAGAGAGAGAGAGCGCGGAGATAATTGCGTGAGACAACTTAAGAAGGCAGATGGGAACACGCAAGGCTCGGGACAGCGGCTGGACGGCAGAGATGATTGTATGAGAAAGACGAGAGGCAGCGAGAGACTTAGAAAACAAGGGTGTGAAAAAAAGTGACCCAGGGCATTACCCATGCTCCATTTCAGCAGGTCAGGCTGATGGAAGACTTTCAGCGCATTACACATCATGAGACTGATTACTCTGGGACAGAGGGGAGAAGAAAGAAGAAAATCAAGCAGAGTGAGGAGAGGAGGGGGTGGGAATGTGAGTTTGGCAGAGCGGGCTGAAGCAGTGCCAGAGTCAGGTGATGTTTCCAAAGAACGGGTTCCTCTCTGAGTCGCTCCACGCACTCTTTTCCAGCCCCGAGGAGAGACTGACTGACAACTGTCTGGTTTTAAAACGATGGCATGCTGAACGGCTCCCTTCTTATGTGGTCACGTTGTTTTGGCTGACAAAGCTCACGCCTTTGACAGGAGCATCGGTGACTGAGCACCTTGAGCACTCGGGCAGCTTTGCTTGTGTCAACAGTGCGGCTGTAACTCTATTCTAGCTCAGCTCGTGTCAAGTTCAGTCGCCAGTATGACCACATGCTGGCTCGCTATGTTTTCTATGCGTAGGGTTTGGATTGACTTATAATAAAGGCTTGTGACTACGGCTTGTGGGGTCAATGAATGTGAATGTGTCATCAGCTAGAGAAGGATTTTCCTGAATCTTCGGGTAATCTCAGGTCACAGCTGAATCATTTACTTCTATGCGTGCAAAAAGTCCCTCAGACATAAATATACTTTTCTGACTTTGCAGTGAATCAGAATATTGTTTGATAAACACAGTATCCATGCTGAATGCAAGTCAAGCGTGCAGAAGGACAGAAATTGTGAAAAGAAGGGAGAAGAAAAAAAAAACAAGCCGCAGTTAGCGTTGGCGCTCGCAAAATTTTCTAAACTGCGTTTGACCTCCTCTTACTTTGCTGCTCCGGCCTCTCTTCATCTTTTAAACTCTCCCAGGAAGCATACGTGTGTGTTTGAGGCAGTATAGCCGCCGTTCTGCCTCAAAATGTTGGTTCTTGTTTTAACCGCCGATTGCTCTCATGTTACTTGTGGCACTCATAAGTAATGCGAGGTCATTCTCATTCAAATGCACGCTCACACCGAGAGGAAACACACTCCCTAGCCCTGTTTCTCTTTCCCACCGCAGACACACCTACGTACACACACACACACACACACACACACACACACACACACACACACCAGCAGGCAGCCAGATAAGCAGGACATGTGGTAAGAGGGGCAACCTGTGCTCCATCAAGTCTGCAGCTTCGTCAGTCGCTCTGCTCACAGAGACATAAACTCACAACATCTCAGACGTATGCTTACATTTTCAAAGATGCAAAGTTAACAAGAGAAAACGAAAGGAGGCCACTGGAATTCCTTTTTTTTGGTTTGAAATTTCAGTCAAGAAGAATAAAATAAACAAAAGAGTGTTTAGAGAATAAAAAGTAAATTAAGAAGAAAAAGCAATAACAGAGGAAACAAAACTACCCATTTGGTAATAATGATATAATGTTCTGCCTGCAGTTACATTTTCAACCACATGGAGGCGCAGTTTTGTTTTTTGCAGTGGTCCTGAAGTCCTGAATGATCTGATCAACTGATCACAGAGTTTAAAAGGTACACCAGGAAACCTGTGTGGAGACGCTCGACACTGTCTGTGTGCATGCGTGCGAGTAAATGCATATGGTGGTGTGGCGCCCGATACACGTGCGCTACAGGTAAACCTGTCTCTGGGCCTGAACCCGGGCAGCCTCCTCCTGTGCCCAGAGAGCCTCCCTATGTGCTGAGGTGTTCATGCTTTCTCTCAGTGCCCGCTCCAGCTCCATGATCCGCTCAGCTGTGTCCCGCAGGGCATCCTGGGAAGCCAAAAGAGGAAGCTGGGGGCATGAAGATTTAAGGGGAGGGGTTTGGAAGCAAAGCAGCAAAAAGCAGGAAGATGAATGTTTGTTCTTAAATGTTCAAACGATTTGGTGCACACATCATCTGCATTCACACTGCACTGTTTGGCTCTTTGCAAAGAAAAAAATCATTCTGGCTGAATCAGAAATGACAGAAAAACAAATCCTGCAGCTGGAGAAGCAAACAGAGCACACCGAGACACAAGAGAGGGATACGCAGGGCAGAAAGAGTTTCTAAGTGCTGTGACCTTTGCTGCCATCCATGTGAGTGTGATCCTGTAGGTGTGGAGTGGACTGTGTGCGTTTACATGCACAGTTTGTGTGTGGCCCTTCACATCTACGGTGAGCGGAAGAAAACGATCCGCTTCCACCCTGGTTGATGGAACTGTGAAAGAAAACACTGGACAGAAATAATAAACCTCTGATTCTCCATCTCGCCGCCTTTCTTTTTTTTCAGCTTTCTCTCCAGCACCGAAAGCGTTGACTCACTTTCTAGTTCACACGTTCACACTTTTCTGGGAGCGCTACAGAAGCTTTGTGGACACGTGGACGAGGAAACAGCTCCCAGTGATTTTAAATGCTTAAACTCATGAACTTATAAACTTCACACTAAACTCCAGATCTGATGATGTGAATTATAGAATTACAATCAAAATGAACTCATATCAAACAATGAGCCTTTAACTATTACGGAAACATAAAGTCCCATAATTGTGCAGCCTGTAGAGTCACAGTGACACAAGACGACAATAAGAAGGGTGTGTAAGGAAGAACAATTAATGCAACATGCTACAAAATCTGTCCATTAGGAGCAACAAAAGTGTCACAAACCTGATATACTCAAACCTTACATCCACATGTAAAATATAAATGTGATTGAGGTACGTGAAAAGCACTGTTGAGTAAAAGGGATGGCTCTCTGGGAAACAGAGGAAAGTGAGAGTAAGTCTGGCTGACTGCTGTTAAAATGATATTTCATCTCAGAAATAGATGCTACATGTTTGTAAAAGTGAATATAACCTTTGAAAGAGTGGCATCAGCCAGCTTCAGCTGCCCTGTGCATACATCTCATGTCTGACAGGGATGTAGAAAATATTTTGTATTACAAGAGAAATCGCTCATGATGGATTCCACACATGTAGTGAAAGTCCTTTTATGAGACGGCGCCAGGAACACACAAGTTGCACATGAATAGCTTATTAAGTGCCTCCAATAAATACTAAAGAAGAGGAAATAAGTATAAGGTTGGTACAATTATCAGCCCATCAGTGCAGGAGGCTCTGAGCGAGTCATGGTGCAGACTAAAACTGCAGCAGCAGGATTATCCGTAAGTGTGATGAAAACATCGCCAAGCCATCCGGATCACAAGTGGATACTTGTGGCACGTTACGCCGGCGTGGCACAGCTGGAGGCGAGCGACAAACACACACACAGAGCCAGGCTGAGTGCGTCAAAGGTCCGAAACTGTAATTGGATGTGACAGACAAGCGGTAACTCGATGCACCAGGATCAACAAGTGCTGGTGTGACCCCACCCAACAGACAGACACACGCACATACACACCCCACTGAGATGGGCTGCCACTGCTGCACCCCTGAGTGTAACCTAACCAGAGAGCTGTGTCTGCCCCTGTATGTGCACTATAAATGTGTCTGTGCATACATGTTTGCTTCAAGTTTTATTAGTAACTCGAGAATATCGCCGGCTTTCAAGGAAAAGAATGGGAAAACAGGGCAAGACGGATACACAAGCACAGAGAACGGGGAGGAAAGTGAAGATAATTGCCTCTGCAGCACCAATCATCACCTAATTCCCCCAGGAAGCATCATTACGGCTCTGGTCTGTTCTGGCTTGATGAAGGGATTACGATCGCTTACACAAACGAGCGGAGAGTGAGAGAATGCACATTTCCAGCAGCTGTGCACCTACGATCAGACATCTGTCTCAGTCTTTATGAACTGTTGTGTTTCATAATTTCAAATATGCTAAATATGTGTGCAGGGCCAGACATCTCACGAGTAATTACGTCCAGTTTAAAGACTCTGAGCTCCGAGCGACTGAAAATCTATCAATCTTTTTTTCCTTCACATTTCCCCCTAAATCAAAAAAACAAATCAAAAAACACAAGAAGAAGAAACCTTCCTTGCTGTAATAAACAGGTGAGCACCGAGGGTTGCTGACGCCTCTCAGTCACAGATAAAAGAGAAATAAAGGCCAGTGTGAAGGTTTGAGGAGAAAACTTCCGATGTGTTTGTTAAGTGCAGCGTGGCGCGATGGAGACAATGGAGCAAAGAGATGTTATCGCTCCATCCCACATAAACTCTTCTGGCAAGATTGTGAGAGTTTGTTTGTGTGTGTTTACCCTCGGAGCGTGCTGTGTTCCTGATGGACCGGAGATAAGAGAGAGACGCAGAAAGAGAAAGGAAGAGGCCACAGCCCAGCCTGAGCAGACACATGCATGTATGTTGTGTCTGCATCCAGTGAATATTTCATCTAATGTAGACTCCAACATTTCAACGTTTCATTGGTGCCTTTGTTGCATTTTTAACAAATTCCTCCTATATTTACCTCTAAATGTATTACATTAAATTGCTGACTGTTAGCTGACGTCTAAGAAACGTATTCATGTTGCATTGATGTCCAAGTTATAAATTTCTTCTGAAACCTGCCCCAAAAATGGGGAAACGTCTTTCTTCAACTTGACTGCGCAATCGAATTGACTAAAATGTGGTGCACATGTGAAATCAGTGTTAAAGTGGATTTTGCAACAGCTCATAAGGATCAAAGGCCTGTTTGACGTCAGGCAGAAATATCTGTATTATAAACTGCTCTAATGGAGCTTGTGTGAATTTTATGTGTTGGGTTCATTTTAAAACAAGTCTAAGACTCTGCAGCCGCCTTTGTGGTTCAGTGAGACTATATCCTCAAAGCTTAAGCACAACATTGTTTTGGACTACATGTTAGCTTTGGCATAATCAAGCCTGTCAAAGCTAGCATGCTCGTTTGTAACCGCACTACTGTTTGCCATGATTGTCCTTTTAATGACATAGTAACAGTTATTAATGCCCAGAAATAGGTTGATGGGAATGTTTTCAATGAAGTGTATTAGCATTGAGGTTTTGCTGAAGGAGTTACCAACATGATTAACATAACAGGAGACAAATGTGTGCCAAATTCACGAGATTTCATCCAGCGAACATTTAACTTTGAACCGCAAATGTTAAAAAGATGCAAAAGTTTGTTGTGGAAGAAGCTGGTCGATCATCAAAGTTAGGGTTTAAGCACTAAGTATAGTGGATGTCTGTATCGAGTTTCATGGCAATCCACTGAATAGTTCTCTAAATATCAAGATTAACGGAGAAAGCTTTAGAGCCGTGCCGCTGGCACAGCTAAAAATCTGTGTTGAGACATGAAAGGAGTTAACGTTATAAAGCACGCATGGATAAGTGAAAGTATGCAAGAATGTTACGTAAGATGTCAGCACAAAAGGAATCACAGTGCAGTGAAAAAAGAGCTTTCACAGGACAGGTAGTGGAAAACTAAGTACACCCACAGAAGAAGGTCAGCAGCAGCTTTTACAGTCTAGGTGTAACAGATCTTTGTAAAAGCAGAAGTTTATGGTCTGCAGCGTTCATCCTAACACAATCCCATAATCTTCCCAGTAGTGGGCGTCCCAGCAAATTCCCCCCAAGGTCAGACTGTAAACAGAGTCTCAGAATAATTGCATTAAACCTAAGAGCTACAGCCCAGACAAGTATGGCTTGTTTGGATGGGCTGTCAGGAGAGAAGGCCTCTTCTCTCCAAAAGAACTACTACTTCCTGTAGGTATGCACCAACCAAACAAACTACAACCTCTGCAACAACCTCAGCAGGGATGGTGATTTGGGCTTTACAGCTGCAGGACCTGAGCACTTTGCAGTTATGGAGTTAATCATGAACTCGTCTGTACACGAAAGCATCCTAGAGTCACATGTGACATGAATGCAACAGGACGACGAACCAAAGCTCAGCACAAGTGCAATGCAAGTCCTGTGAAAACTGTTCTGTATATTGTTCTGCAGAACATCTGGCTCAGATTACTTATTAAGAATGAGAGGGGTTAGGGTTTTTCTCTTGGCCACGCCCACCTCTCAGGTGCAGCCAGTTGCTCTGAAGACCAGCTGAGGCTCCTGCCAGAGGAAACAGCAAAGAATAGCACAGGAAACCAGGAGGGTGGAGCATCACAGATCAATGACAATAAACAGGAGTTTCAGTCTGATTTCATGTATCTGCTCGAAGATGAACATTTCCTTTGGTCAGTATTTTTTAATATATTCAATAACTACAAAAATAAATGGAAATAACAACATTCTGCAGACCCGAGGCCTTTCTCAAAGCTTCTTCTCCAATCTCTCCCAATCTGAGCGTCTGCCACATTTAGTGCCCAAACATTAAATGATGTAGTCAACAAAAATGTGATGGTTATATTATATTCAGGATAAATGATACTAATGATAACACTGCTAATAATATGCTATAATAATAATAATATTTAAAAAAACACGAATCAGAGATTTTCAGAAACGGTTTTTTAAAGAACCTCAAAGAGCCGAGGAGAGTAAAAGAGGTCGCAAACATGAAGGCGAACGACCGTGTAAGCTTCAAAAACAAGCAGTAAAATCTGGTAAACACTGAAGGTCAACAAGAGTTAGAGT